AACCTAAAAGCGATGGCCTCTAACCTAAAAGCGATGGCCTCCAACCTACTAGCGACGGCCTCCAATCTAATAATAGCCATGACCTCCAACCTACTAGCAATGGCCGCCAACCCAGAAGCGATGGCCTCTAACCTCAAAGCGATGGCCTCCAACCTACTGGCGACGGCCTCCAATCTAATAATAGCCATGACCTCCAACCTACTATAATATAGCGATGGCTGCCAACCTAGAAGCGATGGCCTCTAACCTAAAAGCGATGGCCTCCAACCTACTAGCGATGGCCTCCAATCTAATAATAGCCATGACCTCCAACCTACTAGCGATGGCCGCCAACCTAGAAGCGATGGCCTCTAACCCAAAAGCGATGGCCCCCAACCTACTAGCGATGGCCTCCAACCAAATAAGGAATGGCCTCCAACCTACTAGCGACGGCCTCCAATCTAATAATAGCCATGACCTCCACCCTACTAGCGATGGCTGCCAACCTAGAAGCGATGGCCTCTAACCTAAAAGCGATGGCCTCCAACCTACTAGCGATGGCCTCCATTCTAATAATAGCCATGACCTCCACCCTACTAGCGATGGCTGCCAACCTAGAAGCGATGGCCTCTAACCTAAAAGCGATGGCCTCCAACCTACTAGAGATAGTACATTCTGTAAATGACTTTTCGTCAGTGCATCCCCCAATGTCTAGAGACGCAACGACGCTGGCCAAGAATGGTCCTTGAAGGACCTTCACCACCTTGTCCTCCCACGATAATCCAGCGAAAGCCAAAACTTCATCTGGCACTCCTGCAAGTCCAAGAGTACAAGGGCTCTTCCAAAAGAGGGTCTCACCGACCCTTCTGATAGGGATTGTCTTCTTCCAAGTAGCAACTTTTGCAACACGAGACACTTTCCCAGCTCCTTTGATGAAGTGTCTAAGCTTAGACAGCTCCAGAGGAGATTTAGCAGAAGGATGTGTGACCATGAGCTGCCGCAGCGAACAACAAAGGTGTCAGGCAGTTTGCGCCGGTGGAGATGACAGAAGTTCGCATAGGTTTGGTCAAACCTAATTTCTTTGATGAAGTCCTCAATTTTGAGAACAGGGTCAAGCCAGTTCTTGAGGCTGTCGGGCGAGTGGCAGAAGACAGAAACCTTGCAGAATCCGATGATATTGCCGACGCATTCAATTGCGCGTCAGTAGGAGGAAAACTTGTATGGTACGATATCCAAAACCTCGTACCTGAGCCCGGCCGCGATCTTTTTAAAGAACTGCCCAACGCCATCTCAGCCTTAGGAATGGAGGATGCGAAAGAGCTTGTTTCCGCGCCCGAGCTTGAGGGCAAGTTTGGGACGACGTTGCTGGAATTCTGTCTGAAGGAAGGAGAACGCCGCGGCTACGCGCATGCGTACAATCTAGCCAGATTGTACTCCGTTGTGCCGCGTCCTGCCTCTACGCATGACTGCGCGGAGGAAAGCTTGAACATGATTCTGGCAAAAGGAGGCAAGTTCGAATCCAAAGATGAACAGGAGCGAGTAATTCGCAATTACTTGTTAGCTGCAGTCTCATCACAAAAAGAGCTGAAGGCAGCATATATGAAAACTAATCAGCCGCTTCGACCACCCAGCGAGTACGATTTCAATACCCACCAATGGGTGAAGAGAGAACACTGGGCTGCAGATTTGCCGTTATGGACCCTCTTGACAGACGCAGAGCGCCAAGCAGCCAGAGAAAACGACTTCACTGTAAACGAAGTGCCAGCTGATGCTGCTGAAGTTTACTGGGCCACCACTCACAGTCAAAGGGTGCGATGTATGAGCCAGATCAAGGCACTGTCGGGTTAGAAACAGTGGAGTCATTGAAGTCAGCACCTCTCATGTGGGGCTTGACAGGGCATAGTAGCCATGACCTCTAAACTACTAGCGATGGCCGCCAACCTAGAAGCGATGGCCTCTAACCTAAAAGC